CGTGGGGAATAGCAGGTGGGGGTCAGGGCATGCCAGGGTATGTCTAGGCATGTCTAAAGCAGCAGCCAAGCATTTTACAGAAGCTAAAAGAGCAATTAGTGGGGGTCTGGAGGGATTGGGGGTAGTGGGTGAATGAAGAGGGTCTCAGAGTCCTACAGCATAACCTTTGCTTATTTTAAGTTAAACTACACAATACCATCCTGTCATAGTCTTGGGCTTTATGTATTTGATAGTGCACATTCAGAAGTTGGAATACCACTCAAACCATAAAATAATTGTAAATAAAATAGCAGGCTTCCAGGTTTCTTTGTTTTGTTTTTGTTGATGTTAGCTTGTTGTTGTTATTGTTGTTGTTTTTTGAGACAGGATCTCATAACCCAGGCTGACATTGAACTCGGCTGTATAGCCAGGGCTGTCTTTGCATTTCTAATCCTCCTGACTCTGCTTTCTGAATTCTGAAATTACATTTGTACCACCATGCCCTGTTTAGAGTTCCTTTTTTAATATATATTTTTGGGGTTTGCTTTTTTTTTTTTTTTTTTTGGTCTTTTTGAGACAGGGTCTCCCTGTAGCCCCAGCTGTCCTGGAACTCACTGTGTAGACCAGGCTGGCCTTGAACTCACAGAGATCCGCCGGCCTCTGCCTCCCGAGTGCCGGGGTTTTACTTTTTAGAAACTATTTTATTTTTATTTTATGTGTATGAGTGTTTTGCCTGCATGTATGTAAGTGCACCATGTGCATGCAATACCCCGAGGAGGAGGGGGAGTACCAGAAGGGGGTGTCAGATCCCCCAGAACAGGAGTTTGGTTGTTAGCTACCATGTGAATTCTGGGAATTGAACCCAGGTCCTTTACAAGAACAAGTATTCTTATCTGCTGAACCATCTCTCCCGTTTTGTTTTGTTTGTTTTCTTATAAACGATACAAAAAAACTCTATTAAAAGAAAATACACATGTAATTTTAAAATATGTTGATATCGAGCACTGTGATAGGATTTTACAAATTTTTTCCCTTGCAACAATCCTGTGCAGTTGATACCATTATTGTCCATGATTTCCCAGAGAAGAGAAAATGAATCAAATAACCATTTCTGCAAATAATAAAAGGCTAGTATTTGCTTCTGAGACTGGATAGTGAAATCAAAGAGATAATACTGGGTGATGGCCCTCCAGGATATGAACATTACTCAATAAATATTAACTCAGTGTTTACATGTGGGATACTAAAACTTCATTCTTTAACCAATAACTCCATCCCCCTGGAGTCTCTTACAGAAGCATGTACGGTAACTCATAGCCAGCTGTACCACCAAAATGTCTCAGCCAGCTTTTTGCATCTTTCATACTGTGGCATTTTAATGATGTGTATTGACTCAAGATGTTTTCATAGCTTTTGTGTGTGTCAAGCACCATTTGAAGTTTTGGAATATAGCAGTGAAGTAGGCATTGCCCCTGCTCTCGCAGTTTGGGTATAGAAGTGAGACAGATGAGCAAGTTAACATTCGTAACAAAGAGCACCAGCACATTTAAAATCAGTTGACATGACTGAGTGCCTCTGTGCTTGCATTAGCTTGAATTGTCCCATCAAAAAGTGGTATTTAGGCCGGGCATGGTGGTGCACGTCTTTAATCCCAGCACTTGGGAGGCAGAGGCAGGCAGATCTCTGTGAGTTCCAGGACAGCTGGGGCTACAGGGAGACCCTGTCTCAGAAAGACCAAAAAAAAAAAGTTAATATTTTATGACAGGAAAAGCAGCACGTTGAAAGTAGGTAGTTGAGATAAAAATCCTTGCTAGTGTTCCTGGAGTAAAGAGTTGGGATTTTGCCTCAAGTACAGTGTGGGTGGCTTCAATATTATGACCTAAAGATCTTATAAGGTGGGGTAAAAAGCACGAGTTATAAGAGCAGGTTGCCGTCACATTCGTCTTCTTCACAATTATTTATTAGGTTACTGGTATGTTTCTCCCCAGAACCAGTGAACAGTTTTAGTGCTTTCCACTGTGAGATGAAATATTTGATCACATGAAATTTCACGTATTTAAAATATGTTATTTTGAACATAGTTTGTTTTCTAGAACTCTGAAATAGACCTACAGATAGACATTTAATTATTCTTACTTGCTGATGCAGCTGTGTGGGTTAGTGTTTACTATACTGCTATAATGCTCAAGAATTGATTTCATGGGACTAGAGAGATGGCTCAGTGGTTAATATTACTCACTGGTTGCTCTTGAAGAGATTCAAAGTTCAGATCCTAGCACTCACATGGCAGCCAACAACTGACCATAACTCCAGTTCCAGGAAATTTGATGCCTTCTTCTGACCTCCGTGGGTACTGCATGACATGGGTGCACTTACTTACATGCAGGCAAGACACTCATACTCGTAAAATTAAAATAATAAATTTCTTTTTAAAAAATTGATTTCATATTTGTATAACTTTTTTTGAAAAGCTTATAAATTATATGCCTTCTTTAACTTTTCATGAGATACAGTGTATTATATAT